GAACGTAACAGTGCAAGGTGAAGCAGCAAAGGCTAAAGGAGAATCTGTTGCAAGTTATCCAGAAGATCTAGCTAAGTTCACTGATGAAAGTGGCTGCACTACACAACAGATTTTCAATGTAGATGAAATGCTTTCTGTTGGAAGAAGATGCCATCTAGGACTTTCATAGCTAGAGAGGAGAAGTCAATGCCGGGCTTCCAACTTCAAAGGAAAGGCTGACTCTTTTGTTAGGGGCTAATGCAGCTGGTGACTTGAAGTTGAAGCCAGTGCTCATTTACGATTCTGAAAATCTTAGGGTCCTGAAGAATTCTGCTAAATCTCACTCTGCCTGTGCTCTATAAATGGAACAACAACGTTTGGGTGGAAGCACATGCATTTACAGAATGGTTTACTGAATATTTTAAGCCCACTGTTGAGACCTACTGCTCAGAAAAGAAAGATTCCTTTCAAAATATTACTGCTCATTGACAATGGAAATGTACAAGGCGATTAATGTTGCTTTCATGTCTGCTAACACAACATCCATTTTGTAACCCATGTATCAAGGAGTAATTTCAATTTTCAAAGCTTATTATTTAAGAAATTTCATAAGTCTACAGCTACCATAGATAGTAATTCCTGTGATGGATCTGGGCAAAGTAAATTGAAAATCTTCTGGAAAGGATTCACCATCAAGAATATTCACGATTCTTGGAAGGAAGCCAAAATATCAGAATTAACAAGAGTTTTTAAGAAGTAGATTCCTACCCACATGAGTGACTTTGAGGGGTTCAAGACTTCAGTGGAGGAAGTAACTGTAGATGTGGTGGAAATAGCAAGAGAACTAGAATTAGATGTGGAATCTGAAGATGTGATTAAATTGCTGCAATCTCATGACAAAACTTGAATGGATGAGTTGTTTCTTATGGATGTGCAAAGAAAGTGGTTTCTTGAGTTGGAATCTACTCCTGGTGAAGATGCTGTGAACATTGTTGAAATGACAACAAAAGATTTAGAATATATAAACTTAATAAAGCAACAACAGAGTTTGAGAATGTTTTCTCTAATTTTGAAAGTAGTTCTATTGTGAGTAAAATGCTATCAAACATGCTACAGAGAAGTCTTTTGTGAAAGGAAGAATCGATCAATTTGGCAAACTCCATTGTTGTCTTATTTTAAGAAATTGCCATACCCACCATAGTCTTTAGTATCCATCACCCTGATAACTGCTAACTAGCAGCCATCAGCCTTGAGGCAAGACCCTTGACCAGCAAAAAGATTATTGCTTGCTGAAGGCTCAGATGATCATTCCAATGTTTTTAGCAATAAAGTTTTTTGGGTTTGTTTTTTTTTTCAGGTAGAGTCTCACTATTGTCACCCCAGGTAGAGTACAGTGGTGTCTTCATAGCTCACTGTAACCTCAAACTCCTGGGCTCAAGTGATCTTCCTGCCTCAGCCTCCCAAGTAGCTGGGACCACATGCATGTGCTACTACGCCTGGCTAATTTTTTCTATTTTTGGTATAGATAGGCTCTTGCTCTTGCTCAGGCTGGTCTCGAACTCCTGAACTGAAGCAATCCTCCCACTTCTGCCTCTGAGAATGCTACAATTACAGGTGAAGGCACCACACCTGACCTCATACATTGTTTTTTTTAAAAGACATAATACTATTGCACACTGAATAGACTGTAGCATAAACATAAATCTTATATGCACTGGGAAACCAAAAACTTTGTGTGACTTGCTTTATTGTGATATTTGCTTTATCGCAGTGATCTAGAACTAATCCCACAATATCTCCTAGATATACCTGTGCACGGATGCATTGGGCTGCTTATTTAAATTCTGTTTTAATGCTCAATATTGAGTACTAAACATTGAGATAATATATTTATATTTTTAAAAATAATGAAAAAACTGTAAATAATTCAGCCAGACGCGGTGGCTCATGCCTGTAATCTAGCACTCTGAGAGGCTGAGGCAGGTGGATTGCTCAAGGTCAGGAGTTCGAAACCAGCCTGAGCAAGAGTGAGACCCCGTCTCTACTAAAAATAAAAAGAAATTAATTGGCCAACTAAAAATATAGAAAAAATTAGCTGGGAAAGGTGGCACATGCCTGTAGTGCCAGCTATTCGGAAGGCTGAGGCAGAAGGATTGCTTGAACCCAGGAGTCTGAGGTTGCTGTGAGCTAGGCTGACGCCATGGCACTCTAGCCTGAGTGACAGAGTGACTCTGTGTGGGGCGGGGGGAAGTATAATTGACTCAGGGAGTCAGAAATGTCTGGGACATTTAAGATGGAATCATATCTCAACTACTGTTCCTTTAGTGAAATAATTCATTAACTATGTCATGAAACTTCCTGTAATAATAATATTATTTCAAAATATAAAGTACAATTGTACAAGGCCCCGTGCAAGGTGCTCTACATACCTTTAATCCTTGCCACAACCCTAAGAGTGAGATGTTATCATTCCTGTTTACAGATAACAATGTAGAGTCGTAGAGAGGTCACATGTGTGCAGGATCGCCAGGTACTGAGCGCAGATTGCTAGATCTGCCCAACTGTCCCATGACTGTTTCAGCACCCACCCCACCCTCACACTACCGAAACTTTTAAGTACATTATACATTTATTTATGTTTAGGTCTGCTTATTAGAAAAAAGATTATTAAAGAAAAACCTGGGGCATGTTTATAATTTTATTCTTGAGCTTTATAAAGAAATGAGACATAATGTTCTTCCAAAGCTATTTCTCTTTTTTGCACCCTACACCACCCACTGAGAATCACAGTATGATCATCATGTATCTTATCTTCGAATGCTCTGTCGATTTTCAGTGTCAGATATAGAGGCCATTTGAGACTGCTGTAATGTGCCTTTCACTGGACTGAGGGTGGGTAAGTTCCCCTCACACATACCCCTCCCACATTGAGGAGTTGGGCTCAATCCCAGGATCCTTATTAAAAACAGGAAATATTTTCAGAATTTTCTGTTTTATTATCAAAATTCACACTAGTAGTTTTGGTTTCTACTTTGTAACACACACACGCACACACACACGCACGCACACACACACACACACAATTTCCCATTGGAATTCTTGATCACAAATAATAAATACAGATTTTGTTATTTAGAAGGAATTTATTGGATGGATGTAAGGTAGCTCACAGAAATCCGATGGTACCAGAGTTGGGAAAATAGACAAGAATCTAGGGAGATGAGGGATTTGGAACCATAGCCAAGGTTATACCACTTAAATAGCTATTTAGGGTGCTGCTATGAACTGGTATATATGTTTATGTATAATAGTATTTTTTCATTGACTAATTGCATCATTGTTAATAAGAAAAATGTTAAGAAAAATAAAAGTAACCCAAATATTCATCAACAGGATGTTGGTAAAATAAATTATGTACTAATATAATGGGATACAGTATTGTTATAAATAATACTATAGTAGATCTAAACATACACTCATGTAATGATATTCAAGATAGGAAAAGTAGAAGAAAGTTAAAATTACTATCTTTAGTATTATTCTATTTTGTTTTTAGAATGTGTTTATTTTTATATGTATAAAAAAATTCAAAGGCAATATATACTAAACTGGCAATGGTTGTCATCTCTGGTGCTTGGGTCATGGGAGTTTTTGATTTTTTACATCATATTTCTGTGATGTTTGAAATATTTTTGTTAATTAATGTAAAATAATGATTATATCTTTATTAGCTGGAGTCTTCGATCACAGGATTTTTCCCCCCTAATACTTACATTAGGACAATGACAGGCATGTTTGGCTTTCTCTGCTCCATGTAAATAGATGTTCTCAACAACTAGAATTGATACTCCTTTTTTCTACTTTCCTCACCCTCCACCATGGCAGTGAGGATACGAGAGGATTATTCATCAGTGAATATGGCCAACTAAATATCTGAAGAGTAAAGAACTGATTCTAAATAATTTTATATTGCCATTTTGTGATTGCCATTGGAGTAGTTAGTGGTATGCTTTTAAATATTGCTTTCCAACAGTATATGAATCCTAAGCCCACTTTTGTTTTACATGTTTTAGTTTATTATTTATTATTGTCATCATTCTCTTTAGTAAAAATATCTACTTTTAAATATTAGCTTATTCTCTAAAAGTATTTCTTTTCCCATTCTTGCATAACCCTTGTATTTCTATTGCAGGAAAAATTTTAAACTTTGAATAAAAACTTTCAGGGAAAGCTTTTACATGTGGCTGGGCATGATGGCTCATGCCTGTAATGTGTAGGTAACATAGTGAGACTCTGTGTCTACAAAAAAAAAAAAAAAAAAAATAGGGCCAGATGTGGTGGCTCACAGCTGTAATCTAGCACTCTGGGAGGCCCAGGGGGGAGATGCTCGAGGTCAGGAGTTCGAAACCAGCTTGAGCAAGAGTGAGACCCTGTCTTCACTAAAGAAAAAAAGAAATTAATTGGCCAACTAAAAATATAGAAAAAAGTTAGCCAGGCATGGTGGCGCATGCCTGTAGTCCCAGCTACTTGGGAGGCTGAGGCAGAAGGATTGCTTGAGCCCAGGAGTTTGAGGTTGCTGTGAGCTAGGCTGACGCCATGGCACTCTAGCCCGGGCAACAAAGCGAGACTGTGTCTCAAAAAAAAAAAAATTAGTCACACATGATGGTATGTACCTGTAGTCCCAAGTACTCGAGAGTATGAGGCAGGAGGGTGGCTTCAGCCCAAGAGTTTGAGGTTACAGTAAGCTTTGATTGCACCGCTGTACTCCATCCTGGGTGATATAGTGAGATTCTGTCTCTAAGTAAACAAAAAAACTTTAAAATTAAAATAAATTTTGTTTATATATAAACTTAAATAAATTTTTTTGGCATAAAACTTGAAACTCATTTTAGTTCTATCACTTTTAATGTTTCAAATTACTGAATTGATGTTATTAAAAACTTATGACATTTTGTTGTAACATTTTAAGCATGCTACGAGTTAAAGTTATGGTTTTTTTTGGCTTATTTGTTTGCTTTTAGCATTCCGTATTGGAAGAAGAGCTTTCTCTACATGAAAAAAATGCCTTTGTTTAGTAAATCACATAAAAATCCAGCAGAAATTGTGAAAATTCTGAAAGACAACCTGGCCATTTTGGAAAAGCAAGACAAAAAGACAGACAAGGTATGAGCTAAAACAATAACATTATTATTAAAGTACATGTATTCCAAGAGCAAAACCTAATAAAAAGCTTAATGAAGCTTAATGAAGAATCCCACATGTAGTCTGTAATATGCTCATAGGGTCCCTGTAAATATAATTAGATTGATTTCAGTTTTTTTGTAACTGATAATTATTTTGTCTGTAGTCTTGAACTCATGATTCACTATCTAGATAGAGCCTCTGACCAACTGTGGATCCTTATAGACTACAGAGCTTAAAGATCTAAGAGGATATATACTGGTATATAATGTCACACTGACATGAAAGGTAAAAATATCCTTTTATTTAAAGATTGACTGATAGTTTCTACTATAGGGCAACATTATTTTCACATTGTTTTAAGGTGCAATAAGTTAGACTTCCTCATAGGTAGGACCTTTTAGTATTTTGGTTATTCCTTTGAAGGGATGTTGAATCTTACATGCTCAGTTTCTCTCTAAAGTGACTAGTTTATGGCAAGATTCAAGATATCTATAAAATAAATACCCTTGAATTCATAATATTGTTCTGTCCCAGTATATGATACAGTCTTAGATTCTATAAAGGATGTAGAAATACCTTATTTTACACTGTAGTGTACCTTGTAATATTGAGCCAAATATTGGCCTAAATAGAAAGAAAAAAATGATCTTCACAAAAGAGTAAATCTAAATGGCGAAAGAGAAAAAAGAAAAAAACGTTTACTCATTTTCATTAGTAATTAGGAAAAGGCCAATCTAAACCACAGTGAATTTACATTGCACATCTACTGTCTGGGCTAATATGAGAAGATCTGATCATAAGTGTTGACAAGGATGTAGAGCCATGAGAACTTTCACTGTGAGTGATAAAGTATACATTCATGTAAGTGATTTGGAAACCAGGAGTTTAGTATTATCTGTGAAATATGAAGATGAGCATGTGCTAATATCCTGTAGTACCAGCTTCTAGGTATAAACTCTAAGGATATTCTTGCACACACATGCATCAGGAAAAATGTACAAGAATGTTCACACTATTGTTGGTCACAAAAACTCTTCAATGGAAACAAATCGTCTGTGAACAGTAGACCCGATAAAGAAGTTGTGGTACAGCCATATAGTATAGAATACTGTAGAGTGATGAAAAAACTGCTGCATGCAGCAGCATAGAGAAATCTCACAAATATAATGTTGAATGAAAGAAGCATATCATGAAAAGCATATCATGCATGTACTAGTCTATAAAGTTCGAAATCAATGGAACTAAGCTATTTTGTTTCGGGATGCATGCATAGGTAAGAAAACTATAAAGAAAAATAAAGAAATGATTGTCACAAAAGACAAAGTATATGGAAAAGGGGCATCCAGGTGATTTCTGGGGTGCTGAAAATGTTCTGTGTTTTGACCTGGGTGATGGTCACAAAAATGTTTACTCTGTATGTATGTTTAAATCACTCTTCTGTGAATATATCTCACAATTTAAGAAGCCACCAGTTGGCCAGGTGCAGTGGCTCACGTCTGTAATCTTAGCACTCTGGGAGGCCAAGGCAGGAGGATTGCTTGAACTCAGGAGTTCGAGACCAGCCTGAGCAAGAGTGAGACTCTGTGTCTACTATAAATAGAAAGAAATTAGCCAAACAACTAAAAATAGAAAAAAATTAGCATCCGAGCATGGTGGCGCATGCCTGTAGTCCCAGCTACTTGGGAGGGAGGCTGAGGCAGGAGGATTGCTTGAGCCCAGGAGTTTGAGGTTGCTGTGAGCTAGGCTGATGCCATGGCACTCTAGCCCAGGCAACAGTGTGAGACTCTGTCTCAAAAAAAAAAGCCATCAGTCTTTAATAAATTAAGGATTAATCAATTCAGTCAGACCATAAAAATATCTGGAAAATTGTTTTTTAAAAGTAGCATCATGCCACTATGAGTTATTTTTATGTAATTTGAGTTACTCTACTCATTCTCTTCTTCATCTATAATAATTTCAGTATTATACTTGAAAGTAATAAAACTACATTTCTTTTAAAACAGTCAGAAAATTAAACTGTTAACTAAATTAATCTGCTTTCCTTTCCCACCTGTTTTAGTTTAAATTTTTTAATTAAGATATAATTCAGATTATAATTTACTATTTAAAGTGTACAATTAAATGATTTTTAGTATATTCACAAGGTTGTGCAACCATCACCACTATCTAATTCTAGAATATTTTCATCACCCCAAGAAGAAACCCTGTAGCTGTTAGTAATCATTCTTCATTTCTCCCTCCCCCAGGGCCTAACACCTACTAATCTACTTTCTACCTCTAGACATTGCCTATCATTCTTTAAAATACAGCGAATTTTTTAAAGTTTCATAGATAGCAGTGATTATGTATGAAGAATAAGTGGATTGACAAAGCTTATGGGTTTTGACAACTTATAATTTTATATCTGGTCCGTTAAAAAATCAGAAGAGTAAGGATTTGTTGAAAAACCATAACACAATGCTTTAAATAAAGATTAGTAGCTATCAATAAATCTTCAAACTGGAGTCAATTTAATTTTCAAGAGTAAAATTTGTATTTAGTTACTAGCAAATTAGACTATGAGTATGGTTTAGAACAATATTATTTCAATTATGTTGACTAAGTAGAAATACTAGACATCTTTTTTATATAAATAAGTTTTAGTAACATGTTCCAAAATAAAAAAGCAATGCCTAGTAGTTTTTTTGTTTGATAACTGTGCAATGGTCTTTGACTGTAAATAAAAGGGTCCAAAAAGTAGTTTTGTTTGTTTGTCTGTGGCCTGAAAATTTTTATTGTTTTTAACTATTAGCATACTTTTTGGTCACTAGGCATCAGAAGAAGTGTCGAAATCACTGCAAGCAATGAAAGAAATTCTGTGTGGTACAAATGACAAGGAACCCCCCACAGAAGCAGTAGCTCAGCTGGCACAAGAACTCTACAATAGTGGGCTGCTGGTGACACTGATAGCTGACCTGCAGCTGATAGACTTTGAGGTAAACTATTTGTAAAAGGATCACAGTTCTGCTTTTTAATTTTAATATAATGACTGTCAATATTTGACTTTTTTTTATTATTGCTGTCCATAGATTATTTGAAAATTTATTCTAAAACTTCTATAATCACTTTAATTATAAAAAAAGCAAAAGTAAACTATAGTTAAGTTTTGTGCAGCTAAGGGGCAAGATTAATGGCCAATAAACATAATAATACATAACATTTATTGTGTGCTTGTTCTATTCCAGGTACAGTTTCAGGCTTTCAGCTCATTTAATTTTTAAAACTACCTTTCTGGCTAATACTGTATTATCATATTATAGATGAAGAATCCACCGTTCAAAGATACTAAGTAATTTGCCTACAGTCACTCAGTTACTAAGAGCTTAACCTGAGATTCAAATTTAGGTGGTATTTACCAAGCCAGTTCTTTTAATTAAAATATTATGCCGATGATTTAGAAAGTTTGTTAAAAGCTAGTAATGTAATATTATCTACAGTTTCGCGCGCAATATATTAATTTATCTAAATAACAAATTAACTAAATAAAACAAAAACTTAGAAATATAAATAGGCATTTTATTTCCTGTTGTGCATCTAACTTAGAATAGTGATTTTTTTTTTTTCAGTGAAAAATGTGTACATAAGGCAAGTTTGGGCATTGACTGTGGAGGTGCTGAAAGTCCTGGTTTTGCTTTGTTGCTTTGTTCCTACCATAGTACTTTTGGAAGGTTCAGGTCAGTGCTTGGGTCTCCATTAATTCTCAGAGATAGAAGAGATATGCAGATTTCTAAAGTGAATAGCTTTTAGTTTTGTTCACTGAACAAGTGGAAAGAAAACTAATTACAGTGATTAGGCCAAGATAAGGTCAGGGCTTTGGGGATCTGTATATACTAGCCCACAGATCTCTGGGCAGATTCAATGGGGGAAGATTTTTGCCAAACAGAGCTGAGAAGGAGGAATGCAGAGCCAGGCTGCTCAGGAGATAATGCAGTCAGGTGTGTTGGCTAGAAGCAAGACTGAGTGAGGCACTCCCAGGGCCCAGACTTCAACTCTCCTTTCTTTCAGATACAACTGTCTGGCCTTTTCTTTGCCCGCTCCCTTATTCAGTCCTTCTGTCTGCCTTTGACATTTTCTGACCCATAATCTCTTTTTTCTTTTTCCTCTTGCTTGCCTTGTTTGTTCTCCCTCCCCATCTTAGGTCCCATCTCCTTTTTAAACTTAGTCTCTATGTGGAATTAAAATATAGTTTTTTTACTTTTTTAAAAATTTAGTTTAAAATGAGATATTATGAACATTTGTAGATGCTATGGCAGAGTAGAGAAACCCTTGACTTGGAATTAGAGTTGTTTAGAGTCCCAGCTCTGCTATTCGGTAATCAATAACTTAACCTCTTTGAACCTTTTTCTCATCTATAAAATAGGGATAATATGAACTTACAGCATTGTTTTAAATATCAGACTAAATAAAAAAATATATACATATATATATTATGTTACATAAGAACACTAAATACAAATGCAAACTACATACAAATGTCAAGTAGTAGTACTTTCGTTTTCTCTCTAAAGAACTAAAGTTAAATACAAGCTGGATTCTTTTGTTATAACCCTTGATTTTTTTTTTTAAAGTTTTAGATACAGTTGGTCAGTGACCATAAATAGGAAAATGATTCCCTACTCTCAGATTACAATATTATATTTGTATAATACTATAATACTAGTTTACTATCGTTTTGCTCATTTCTCTGAGAACAGCAGCATATTAAACTATTGTCATCATTAATTCATAAATTCACTTGATTTAGTTTATGAGATTAGCCCAATTTGCAGTTGAGTTCTGGAAGGAGTATGACTTAGGATGGTTATGATTTGAAGAATGAATCAGGGATGAATGTGGTCCATTATAGTAACCTGGAGAAGCCTTAAACAGCCACAGAACATCATGGGTTCTTAGTGCTCTCCAAGAATTGAGGACAGAGGGAGGAGTACACCAAAGGAAAACTGTTAGTACCTCACAACTTTAATTAGCATCAGCTTAGATTACAGAAATGGAACAGTAAGAAACAGTTATGCAAGTTTCCCTTCTTTTATGTGATATACTGAACATAAATGAAAAATTCAGATAGGAAGTTCATTTAAAAATTATTTTGGAATTAAGACATTTGGTTGCCAAAAAATCAACTTATATATTATCAAATAAACTTTTATTCTCTAGAATCCTTTGGGAACAGAAGTAAGAAGTATCTCTCTGGATATCTGAATTTTCCATATAGCTGAAGATTAAGTCTTCAAATGCAGAGAGTTAAATTGATTATTTCTGTGGATTACTTTACTTTTTAAAATAAAATGTGTTATATACTTATCTCCCCTCCAGAATAATATAATAGATATAATAAATTTTTACAGATGACTCAAAACTATCATCATAAAGATCTGTCATTGTGATAATAAAACAGCAGGTAGTTCTTAACTTTGTTTATTCAGTTGATATAACACAATGCCTAGAATATAATTATAAATGAATGTGATACTCAGTAGATGCAGTTGTCCTCAAGTTCATAGTAAATAAACACTTCTTGGTTGAATGAATGAATGAATGTATGAATGAAAAGCACTTAAAATTAGGACAGTTCACTTTCAAGCCCTCTACCAACTGCATACAGTATTTTCAGGAAGGAGGCGGCATTACTGGCATGAGTAGCCTACTTACAGAAATGTACGGTATATCTCTGTGAACTGCAGGCATGGATGATCAGCCTGCAGGCAGCAACTCTCCTTCTCAAGCCTAAAGCATCCGTATAAACTTGTGGCAGCTTGAGAAAATTCCTCCTGACTTCAAAACTTGTTCTAAGCACACAGAACCCTCACCCCCTTGTCCTTTGTTTGGTAGGTAGCACTGGGACAGCCCTTTTAGTATTACCTTGAGTACTAGGACTGTGTTTACCACACCTAGTGGCATGTTAATTAGTTGGTTGGTTGAATGAATTGAAGAATGAGAATGGGAGGTCAAAACAGAGATAAAGGAATTGGACCAAAAGAAAGTGTCCTGAGACATATTAGTAAGCCATTTTTCTTGAGGACTTAGTAAATTGTTTAGAAGATAATTAAAACTTCTTTGAATGATGATCATATCATTTTAGTGAGTGAATGTTGCCTCTCATGTTGCTTCTTCGAAGAGTAGTACAACAGTCATTTGACTGTAAACTTTCTGGTATGTTTTCATAACAGGAAAGAAAAATTATTATTTTAGGGATGGGCTGCAGCTACTGCCAGATAACCTAGGGGGATGGCACATTCCTTAGAGAGAAAAAAAGTAAACTTTTGTTTAGAAGACACTTTGACAGGCGTTTTTGTTAGTTTGAAAGGTTAAAGTCTCTAGGCAGTGTCTAGAAGCAAAAGACTGAAAGAAAAGAGCTTAGATTCCCCACCCAGAGTGAAGTGACAGAAATGTACGAAATGCCCTTTGGCTAAGGTTGATTAGTAGTGGGACAAAGAAGGAAGACAGGAGAAAGGTTTGGAGTGAGGGAAAGAGAGGTCCCCAGAACCATGACAAAAGTAAGGTGTTTTTGAAGAAAGATGACCAGGAAGACTGAGGGACCTTTAATAATGGTGATCCGTAGATGTCAATTTGAAGTTGTTTCTGCACTGTACTATAATTACCCTATAAGGTTAGCTTTAAACCTTTGATAAAGGAACTACATGCTAATAATATATATTGAGTGAAGGAGATGGGGTGGTTTTCTACCTTGGGGTAAACAGGGTGTTGAGAAAGTAACCAGTTGCAGGAGGCAAGACAAAGAACAGCCTTTGAAAGGAGCTGGGAGCAGGGATTCGGAACCCAGAGCTGACCAAGCTGGTGATGGTGGGCAAGGGCGGTGACTTACACTGGGTGGCAGGGAGTATCTTGGGAATCTGTGCGACAAACCTGTTTCTCCTTCAGGAATCCAGAGGAAATGGCCCATAAGGGTGGGGACGATCCTGGAGGGTCTGGCTATCATGTGGATAATGGCTAGTTAGGATGTAGACCTTTGAATTAAAAAAAAAAAAACAACTCATTACTCAGCCATAAATTTTTATCTAATCCTTTAAGCCTTAAAATTGCTGACAGAAAAGAACTGTTTCTGCACATTATTATGAGGTTTAAAAAAATGACCTGTGGCTGAGATCGCAAGGCTTCTGATTTTGTGGGCTCAGGATCAAACTCAGTGCTGTGGTTTGGCCACTATTCAAGACACAGCTTCAGACTCTTTGATGTTTTGAAACACAATGTGATAAGGGATCAAAGGATGAAAAATGTATTGCACATAAGAGTCGATGCCTTCATTGTTTTAAAGGCAGGTGTACCTTGCAAAACTAGGGTGGATGCAAAGTCATCTGTTCAGGCTGAATAACAGAACAGCTCAAAGAAGCAGAGAACTTTCTACTGTGATAACTTAATCTCTGATAATTATTTCTTGCTACTTTAAAAAAAATCAGCAAAACAAACACTGCAGGATCAGCTTTTCAGTAAGCCATATAATATCATAAGTTTTTGAAAATATTAATGCTCTAAAAATCTTTTTCTGTTTCCTGGCCCTGATTAAAGTGATCCTTTACTTTTGGTTTTATTACTGTAAAAATAAGACAGAAATCATAAAGCCTTAAAATACAAGCTTTGTATTTCATGTATTCAGCAATTTGAAATGTTTACTATATGTGCAGGGCATTGATTCTATTTGGTTGTTTATGTATTCTCTGTCCATCATTAGACAAATTAAAGAATTTACAGTCTCAGATATGAAATACTATATCATAATAAATGGAATTTTATGTTATTGTTATCCCATTGCCTTCTTAAAATTAATGAATATAAACTTTAGAAGCCTTTATCCTATAAAGGTATATAATATGTGGATGATTAAAAATGGTATTTGACATCAGCCTCTTAATCAGAAGTGAAACCTATTAATGATTTGCAATAAAATTAAGACAATTACCATTTTAGTTTGTACCATACT